TGCTGATTATAGAACCGGCTTTTTTAACAAAATGCGCATGACAATCGCATTCGATTAATCGTGCAGCCCTAGCTTTCCATCAGATTTACAATCATGGACTGTGTGTAGCAGCATCTTGTGATGGAAATTATGTAGTGTAAATTACATTTTAACACATTGGCTCTGAACCAGGGGGCCAGGATGCCCTGAGTGGCCTAAAGATGCCTTAAAATGTAAAAAAAAAAAAATAATTCTACACCAGGGTGCCCAATCATGTTGATAATTAAAGATGACTGCAGGGTTGGAACTGATCACTGGAGGTAGGTAGAGAGGTTTGTGCAATAATCTATATTTCTATTTAATTTAATTATAATTTTATTTATTTTAATTTGTGGTCCCCTCTAATTTCTGTAAATTAATTTTGACTGGAGGTCAAAGTTTTTTTTTTTTCATTTCATAATATTTTTATACTTTAAAACAAATTACATATTGATTGGACAACAAAAATGTTTTGACATCAAGTGACATTTAACACGCTCTGATGGCAATGTGTAACTATTTAACATTTCAGTGAATTGATGGAAAATTATTATTATTATTAATTTATACTGACAGTTAGGTTTTAAGGGTGGAATTAGGGGTGGACTTTCATGCTTACATTTTTCTAAAATCATATGTTACTGTGCAAATGAAATCATACAAATTCATGGGAATTTGCCACTAATTTCCCCAAATTGTAAAATAGGTGTAACAATTGTGACAATGTGACAAAAAGTAACTGAAAAGTAGCAAAAGCAAATGACAATAAAGTTTTAGACAAAAACTTTATGAATATGCTCTAACAAACCTCTAACCTATTTAGCAAAAATAAAAAAGCTGAGAACTTTTTAGTTTTAAAATCAACCCCTTGGACATAAAAGTGCTTGAAGTTGAAGAAACACTCTCACATGTTTGTGAAGATTTACAGAGGTCTCAAAATGAATTTTTGGCTAATTTAAGGCTAATTTTTGTATGATCCTGCAAATGATTTAATACAAATTTGTAAAGTGATAGCAGATATTGCATGCCTCTGCACGCTTCTCCATGACCGTACTCTCTCTTGCTGATGTTTTAAACGTAGACGCATGTTGAAAACCAAAGAGAATTTGCTTTGAGTGATACTGCGACTTTCATCTCCAAGCTGTTTGTACTGGATCCCGTCATGAGTGGAGCTGCGAATTTCATTAATGCGTGGTGCGTACTTCAAGAGCGCACTGAGATCAATGCAACATTATTCATAATGACAATAGCAGGCAACGGTTGTGCTGGAGCAGAAAACAGTCTTGGTTTTAGGTGAGGAGTCATGCTATATGCTGCTGTCTCGCTGTATTTCTACACATTCCTTGAAAGTCTCTGGCGACAGAAAGTGACATTTAAAGGGGTCCTATTATGCTTTTTCACTTTTTCAACTTTAGTTAGTCTGTAATGTTGCTGTTTGAGCATAAAAAAATCTGCAAAGTTACTAAGTTCAAAGTCCACTTCAAAAGGAGATATTTTATTTAACAGAAATCAATTTTAAAAAACTACAAAAACGACTCATTTGGACTACAACGCATATTTTCCGGGATTTGTGATATCCCGGAAAATATCAACTTCTAGTACACCCCCAAAACAAACTCAAGACTTTGTAAAAGAGCATAATAGGACCCCTTTAAGCATTTCTTTTTGTCTTGTGAAATCTAGATCACAGCAAATGCTGTGCTGTCACTGAATGTTAAATGTGCAGTGTCTTTGAGCAAAAGCGTGGTTGGACTATGCAGCCAAACAATTACCCACCAGTTTAAATTCAAATAATTAATTGCAACAAAATGGAATAATAAAAAAAAAAGAATGCTTTGAAGTGGTTTAGACCAAATTACAACAAATAACCAACACTTTGGCAAGACCTGAAATATGCAGTTGGCCTAAAGGGCTGAAGATACATTGATTTAAATATTACAAGCACAACATGTTTACACGAACAGTGTCATATTCATGTATCAAGATCCCAATTTTTATGCATTAGCTTCAATACTGGAAGTCACTAAGATTGTGTCTGAAAACCAAAATAATGATGTAATATTTTTGCAATGCTACATGTTTTCTCAAACTATCTGTACTCCTTCAGTTAGCAATAATTCACTGTTTGCCTCAAACTTTTCTTTCTACCTGTAACATAGCTTGCACAAAGACGAGGAATAGCAGAGGACAAGGGGGAGGGATGGAGGTTCAGGCCATGAAGTAACAATGGGCTTGGATTATGGAGCAGAGCCGACAGAGGGAGGAGGAGCCAGGAGAGGTCCATTTTATACACTAAATTTTATTTAATTTACAAAGCCTTTCAACCACATAATCTGTAAAAACATATTAGTTCACTGTCTGGCGATGTGTTTATGCTGATAATGTAATTAAAGAAACAGTTTGTTTTTCAAATTTTCCATCGCACGTCATTTACTGGCTGTTGGCTCATTGGCTTGTGCGTTTTATATTTTGCACTTAAAAAATGTGCATTTCCAGTAAGGCTGTATAATGAGCATCAATGCTCCTTGGATTGTGGGACTTCTTATGGAGCAAATATTTCATTGCACTGGAAGGATTTTGCAATTGAGACCAATTTAAGCCATTAAAATTGCCAACATCAAGATTTTGTCTGGAGATTATCTAAAAATATGTAGAAGGAAAGAGGAAGTGTTTTATCCCTGTACATATAAGGGACAAAATGACATTAAATAGCATTTTTTAAAATCGGTATTCCAAAAGCATAATTTCAGTGGTAATCCAGAATACATCTTGTACCTCATAAGGCATTGTTTTAAATTATATATTTATTTTTTATTTTATTTTATTTTTCTGAGAGTGTGGATGTAATGCAATAATAATTAATTAACATCCTGATAAGTGTTCCTGTTTGAGTATCATTAACATTTCATAAGATGTTTTTGACTTTTGTAGTTATATGCAACATCATGCTCAACTTGTTTCCCCAGAGAAAACAATACAATTAAAAAATAATATTTCTCACCCTATGAAGTCATGGGTAATTGCATAAGACAATTAGAGGAAGTTCTTGTTCTTAGGGAGAAACATATGTAATGTGCTTATAATCGTTTAGAAATTATGAAGTTGGATGAGCATGATTAGAGCATCATACAAACTTCATCTCTGATATATGATGGTCTTAACTTGCTTGTGGTTAGACATTAATTTTGTTCATTTTATGCATCTATTGATAAGTGTTCTTTTTTTGTACATAACTGTCACCACTGGAAAAGTAACATGTACATAAGGACTTATCAAAATCCTTTATGTATGCTGTTAATAACTAATAACTAACAACAATTTGCTTGTACGCTAAAATCAATTAGCATATTAACAATATTATCTATGGTATATGCTCATGTTTAAGATGTCAGTCTGCATTATTTTAACTTATTTTTTCAAAATAGTGTTTAACAGTATAATTCCTGATGAAAAAAACTATATTACCAGCAGAGAAATCTTCAGCAATCAGAGAATTAAAACAACTCCCATGAAGCACTGCAAATGATGTGATAGTCATTCTCCCTTATTCAATTTTCATTCACAATACTTTGTAGTTCTTTCCCCCATTACAGCTGTTAAGTACCAAGTCTTGTAGTTTTTCTTTTCATCTTATTTTCCAGTGCTTTGTTGCTTTAAATCGAAGCAGCAAAACCCTGTCTACTTGATTTCGATATCAAGAGGTCAGCTCAAGAGTCATACTCAAAATCATGTCAATAAAATAAAAGTGTCTCTCTTTGTAGAGTGGCAGCTGATGCGTTATTGTTGACATGAATGAAGAGGAAACATCTGAGTGATTACACAATCTCTCCTCTAGAAAAGTGCCACTCAGCAACGTCCTTCCCTCCAGCTGCTTGTAAAAGTGTTTGACCCTGTGTAGCAAGGCTGGATGTATTTAGACAGAAAAGATCTGAGAGCTGTATTCAAGCCTTTACTTCATGTAATCCGTTTTTAAGAAGTTTCTTAAATGACAGCAATTCTGAGAAGTGCCCAGATTCCCTCTTTTCTCTTGAAAGGAACAGCTTATTACGTTTTAGAGACCTGGCACCTGGACAGTGACGTAAAAAAATTCTATCTTTTGTGTATGACAAGATATCCTCTCAGAATATGCTGTATCAGAGCAGTTCACGTCTTTGCAGCTGCAAATAGCACATTCATGATCCTTTTCAGTCATCAAAGCTTCATTTATCTCCCTTTTATGAGAAAAAATGAACCATTGTTAAACTGCCTGATTGTGTTGCACTCATTTTGTAGATTATCAACTGAAATTACTTGGGGCAAATGCTTGTCACTTTAATTTGCTCTCCAAAAATGCATCTCATAGTTTGTGGCCAGATTAAAAAGTTAATCACATACACCGCCGCAGTTCTCGTTTCATTTAATTGAGTTGTAAAATTAAAGATGTGGGGGCTTTCGATAATACCCCTTGAAGTTTTGCATGCCACTCAAACATATAATGGAATTGTGAATTACAAGCTTTTATGCTGATGAAAAACAACCAGATTTCATATGGCACGTAAACAATGCAATCAGCTATACAAAAACATCAATACCATTGTATGGTGCTGTGTGTGTCCTGCCCACAAATGACCACAGATTACAGGTGATTTATGAAGCATTGGATCTTATAAATGGAATATATACATACACATCCTATTCATATATCCTGTGGCCATTATCAAGGCTGCTCGGTTGGCATTAATCAAGAGCTTCTGCGTCCTTTGTACATGCACTATAGATTTGGGTGCGTGGCCAATTCACAGCCCACCGGCCGACTAATTTATTGGTCATTTGAGATAAAGAGGATGTGCTAATTGGTTTAAGCCCACAGGAACCGCAGAGACGAGTGAGATAGCAGATCCCAGGAGTTTAATGATGTTGTTCAGTGCAGTTGGAGGGTGGGATAGGTCCCTCATGGTAGACTTAAAATATGACATGTGAGATTTACAGTTTTACTTGAGGGGCAAATGTATACATGGTATAAATAGAACATTCTAGATCTCTCCTGCATGCATATGTACATTTACCAACATACAAATATTTGCAAAATGTATGCAAGAGACAAGGTTTTATGACAAATCATTTACATGTATGTGAAGTTAAAATAAAACCCAATTCTCTCAATATAATTTAATTGGGTTTTTCCAGGGACTTTAGAGTCATTTGTTGAATTTAATGGGGGAAAAAGTGACTTTGGGATGATGAAACCATAAGTGAAAAATGGTAAATCACTTTCAAATTTTAGGTCTCAGTCCTGCACCACTCTATAATTTCTATGATGAAAATTTGTAAAATTCTGAATTAAAATTCATTTAGATATTTATTTATGAAAATTTGTAAAATTCTGAATTAAAATTAATTTAGATATTTATGGAGTTTAAAATAGTCAAGGTGGTAAAACAGTGTCTGAATCTGCTACAGGAAATAATATCTACGAGAGGATCCTTGTAACTCAAAATCATTACATTTCTTAAAAATATTTTGACCTTTTTGTAACATGGCAAGATTACGAAGTTCAGATTTTGAAATTTCTAAATTACCAGCCCAAGAAAATTTCACAATATTGATTTATAAATACATTTATGATATATAAAAAAGTTTAAGTAATGATTACAATAAATAGTAATTTTAGAATCAATCAAATGTATTTGTGGTGTAAGTAAAACATGTTAACTTTAAATGATGGTTAAACCTTTTAGTAGCACAACATCTGTTTATTTAGACGTATTTACTTGTAAGTAACTTTGCAGCTAGACTCTTAGGTTAGAGTTAGGGTTAGGATTAGTATAATAAAGTGACATGTACTTGTAAAGATACTTATAGTCAGTATAATGTCTACTGGGGGACCATCAAAATAAAGTTTAAAGGGGTCATATGATGCGATTTCAATTTTTCCTTTCTCTTTGAAGTGTTACAAGCTCTTGGTGCATAAAGAAGATCTGTAAAATTGCAAAGACTAAAGTCTCAAATCTAAAGAGATACAGTATTCTTTATAAAAGTTAAGAGTCAACCATGCCTACCTAAAACGGCTCGTTCTAACACGCCCCCATATGTCTACGTCATGATGTGGGAAGATTTGCATAACACTGCCCAAATGTTCACGTAAAGAAAGAAGGCATAACTTTTATTCTCACTGCAGTATTGTTGCCGCCGCCGCCATGCCGTGCAGACGCTGTGTTTTGTTGTGAAAGCGAAACTACTTTGTTTGGCCTTCCAAAAGAGGACGATATCCGCTTCGTCATGCCTAGAGCTGATCCGTGCTGGTCGCTGAGGAAATACATTAACTTCGCGCTGTGGATCGCCGGATCGGCTTTCACCGTAGACAAAGTGGAGTCCAGCCCGGTGTCATCACATGTGGTTGCCGCAAGCACATCGGCCACTCCTTCATCGAATCCGCCGGCCGCGCCATTCTCAAGCCCACCGGCCGTCGCTCACTCAGCACGCCGGCCATTCCTTACTCTAGCCGCCGGCCTCCACTCACTCTAGGCCGCCGCTGCTCACTCTAGCCCACCGTGTGACGCTGTGTTTCGTTGTGAAAGCGAAACTACTTTGTTTGGCCTTCCAAAAATGGAGAGCACACCTCGCTTTTCAGACCGATGAGCTTTGTAAAAATCGACGCGTTTCAGAAAGGCGGGTCATAGAGGAGAAACAATAATGTACAGTATGTGGAAAATAATGTGTTTTTTGAACCTTAAACTGCATAAACACATTTCATTGCACAAAATAATGTTCTTTTTAGCAACATCATATTACCCATTTAAGCAAATATTATGCAGGCAGTCTACTAACTCTCTAATGATACTAGTGACTGGTAGTTGACATGTAGTTGCAAGTTACTTATAGTAAACTGAATGTCTAAAGAGGACATCAAAATAAAATGATTTGAAATAGATTTTCAAAAGATGTTTCTTTTCATTGACATAAATGTAAACTAGAATGAGCATGCAATTCTAGGTGTCATCAACAGGCCAATTATTTTTTAACAACAGTTCAAAGCTCATATATCTTATAGGCAATATTTGTTTATTATTTAAATAATAATAATTTGTACTTTCCACTCAGTAGCACTGAATATTGTTTAACCAGCTACACAGATGTCCTGACCTGCCCTCCATATACAGTAGATGAGATTGAGATGACATTGTTGGGTTCACAGAGACCTATTACAAAGCCACATTCAGGTCCACTCAGACAGCTGAGAGACACATTATCAGCTCAAGCAGCCACTGGTCCTTCATCTGATACCCTCACAGCTCAAAACAACACTCTCCTCTATTTGTTATATGATGTTATATGACTGTCGCATATATATGCTTTCCATTTTGTTTTTCATTTTAGAAGGAAAAGTGTTTCTTGATTCGGAGTT